CTGATTATTCATGATATTAATTATTTAAAGACTCTCCATTTTATTTCTTAAAACAGTTCATTAACTATGCTATGATAATTTCAGTATGCAAAATCTTTGTCTCACCTTGTAGCTTTCATTCAAATTTACTCTTTTCCTCCTGTATGTTTTCATTTTGCATTAGGTTTTTAAAAACAAAATGAACAAATGGTTAATGTGCAGTGAATACATTTACATACACTGTATACACCGGTTCAGCCATTACCTGTGTCAATATGTAGGAAATCTCCACCATCCCAGATAAGTACACAAGTCCCTTACTAGTCCCTTACTCTTCCCTACCTCCAGATAAGTACTAATTTGACTGGTCACACTAACTAGCTTTGTCTGAATTGAGTATGTATTATTCTTGCCAGATTTCTCTCATCTAATGTGTATTTAATACTCATCTATGTTATTGCATGTGTCATAATTCATGGTTGGTATTTTGCTTGCCATGTAGCACTCCTCCACATCAATATACTAGTAGACCTGCTCTTGATGACCACTGTTAGAGATGCCATGAGCAATTAGATACTTTCTCTTGAGCACCGCAGTAATTATGACTTGTAGAGTGAATACAGGTTAAAATCTCAGAAACCATCATTTCAAAGTTGCTGTCACTTTACACTCTGAGAACAAGACAGCTCCTACTTTTCCAATTAACATATTTAGCACCATTTCTCATTATTCCCCATTGTTTCATTCTGAGCCACACAGATCTTTCCTTTGAGAGTTTTGCTTTAGTTATTCCAGCTTCATCCCAATAGCTGATGACTTAGTGCAGTAAAGAAACACAGGACTAAGATTCAGAACACCCAAATGAAAAAAGCCCACTTGTGACTAGTATCCCTGTAAATGCCACTTGTGAAACAAAGGCTGTTGGGAAAACACAAGAAATCACTGTTTAAACACAGCATGCTAACAATTTAAATTACTATATTGAACTCAAATTATATATTAAGGTAGTCAACTGACAGTGCAGTACAAAAAGGCAATAAAGGAAATTCAACTACACTGCTTACTTGAATTTTTTAATTTGTATAGATGTCACATTTGAATCTCAAGAAATCAAACTCACAAATTCCTTTTTCTAGCACAGCTCCTGACAAAATTCAAACAAAAAAACAGAACCTAGGAAGGCATGAAGCAAATAATCAGGCTCTAATTTTTCAGATGTTCTCTGCAAATGAATGATACATGAAAGATCAATAAACCTGTGCAAACTATGGAAAAACACAAATTTCTTACAGAATGTTATTTGATCTTGATTCCTAGAGATATCATTAGTTCTAGCAGATGTGTTCAAGAAAAGCTTTGCTAAATAAGTCAATGAACCTAACAATTAACTTGAAAGAGGAAATGCATTGTTATACAGATATAATCCAAGTGTGCTATCATTCTCATCATACCAAAGTATTGAGATACATGATAGAAAAAACCCACCATATATTTTTATAAGCATATTTTAATTTTTTGAATTTTGACAATTCAAATTCAGCTAGTTAACATAAATACAGAGTAAATGCACATAATTTACAGCCATGTACAGAAATGCAATAGCAAACCTATTTTGAACACATAACCTATTTTGAACACATAAATGTTCAAAAGATATCAACTCTTTTGAAGCTGATTACTTAGCTATGACTGACAGGTCATAATTAAATGTTCACATATACAGGGGTACACATTCAAAATATTTATCAACACAAAAGCTGAGTGAAACTAGAACTTTCAGTTTCTAGGAGGAGCATAAAAATCAGTTTAGATTAGCAAGAACTGTAAGGGCATGATGGAAAAGACATTTGGGCAGAAAGTATGTTAAGTCCTTTTACATAATTAAAATCTCTTCCAATTTAAATCTTCCAGAAATATGCATATTCTCAGGAATGTTAAAGTCATGATCAATATTAAGGAAGGCTGAATTTGTATTTATCAGCCCCAAGGGGGTCCCTCCAGTACTAACAGTTTGGGCAGAAGAGCATGTAAACATGTTTAGGAAAAATGCTCTAAGAGTAAATAACAGGTGAACTTCTAAGTCCTTTGGGTTCAAATCAGTTTTTTAGTGACTTCAAACAAATCTAAAAAAGATGAAATACCATACTCCAGCAGTACAAGAGTAAACACTCATTTTTCTAACCATGCAAAGCCTGCTGGTCCTAATATAATAAAGCTACACACAATGGGCATTATGTTTTAATAGATAAAAGGCTGGATTAAATAACCTAATGATATTCTATCTTGGTTTCAAAGTTACAAATCAATTATTATGGCCCCCAGATCTAGTAAGGTTGGTTCCACAAAGTTACATACATGGTGAAAACTAAGACAAAGCTTTGGTGATAATTTTTTCCCCTAGATTTAAAAGCACTGCATGGTACCCCAGAATCAGAGGGTTGGTAAATCACAATTTGGACTTTGAAATGAAGGAAACTGTTTCTCAGAGCTGTAGGTCCCAGAGTGCTATCTGCTACTCCATGACCACACGCGCTTTCAATATGTACTGCTTTAACCTGAATAAGTTCACTTCCATTTTCTGAGAAAATTTTCTAATAAAAACACACAACCTTCTGAAAAGTGACCACCTTTACTTTAGAAATAAAAAGTTACCTGACAGAAAGCAGATTAAAAAAAATTTTTTTAAAGAGTAATGTTTTTTAAAGAGTATGTTTTTCTTTGAAAACATCTGTCAATTGAAAAAAAATCTCCAAAGAACTATTTCAAGGAGAAACTTTATATACAACTTTTACATATAGTTTGTTGTTGTTTTAATTATTGATATCGCACTTGAAGTAAACTATCACAGACTGCTTTGAGGGGAAAAAGCAACTTGTTCCTTTCCAGTTGTTGCACAAAGAAACAAAATCTAGGATCCTAAGATCTTTTTCCTTCCAGTACATACTTTTAAAAGCTGAATATAATGCACTAAAGGTCAACAGAAATTTTACTTGCTAAAATTAACATACAGGAACAGAATACATGTTCATCCTTGAAGGACACTTGTTAGAAATTTGCGACAACTAAACATAAGATGTTCCTTAGCTGCTGGTTTTCAAATCATTCTTAATCAATGTGGGGCACTGAGATCATTAGGATTAGGGAGAATCTCTGTCCTTCATTCAATACAACTCGTGTTTACAGATCATCACAAGGCAAATGGCACTGTATTAGGCAGTGTAAGTGGCACCTGAAAAGGTAAACACTATAGATTTGAGACTTTCTCTACAGATTTAAATTAAAAACCCGTTACTGGTTTTTTTTTTTTGGCATGTTCCTCAAAATAAATGTCAAAGCTGAAATTCACCACAGAGGGTTTGAATAATCCCAAAGGTAATGAACTGTATTTGCCTTTGGTCTCCAAACAGATTGGAATATATTTAATTCCAATCAAAGCACCTCAAAAACATCCAGTTACTGTTGATTACAAGGAAGTTAAGAAGGCGGAAGAATTTAAAGGACTCTGTTTCATTGGTGACAATAAGGAAAGCTTCCAAATGACACTCCACAATTTTCTATGTTAGGGGCATGACAGTATACACAGAACACGTGAAACATTTATACTGAAGATCTCCAAAACATACCTAAAGCCTAGAAAGATGTCATGAACACTGTTTCTGCCTAATACATGACCAATTTTTTTTTTTTAAATTCTTAACATGAAATTCTCTCCTACTCTCACCCTTCCCTCCCCCTAAAAAAAGGCCACAAAGTGCATTCACTAAGAGTCATTAAGATAAAGCCACTGCACAAAATATGCAGTTCATGTATACAAAATGAGTACCACACTGGAGTTTAATTATAGAGGTTTTATATACCAGTATAGCAACATTCATAAGGAAAAGTCTCTTAACAGAATTACAGCAAACGTCTTCATGAGGGCCATACATATAATACATTGAAAGTATTAAAAGGTGCAGTTGAACTCAACAGCGTATTGTAAAAGTGATCTCCTGTTAGCACACTTATCTGAATCAACGTCAACCTATGATCTACCATTCAAGAAATTAGGACAGAATAAATTTCTTGTCAAAGGCAATTTATTCATTTATAAAGCCCTAAGTCAATGAGGATCACAACCTGTTCAGATAGCTTAGGGCCCCTCTTCTACAAAGTTTATAACTGCTCCAGATATTTCTAATACATCTTAAAAAAATGTGTAAAGGCCAAACTGAAAATTACCATTTCCTCTAGAAAATAAAGGCAATCTATACAGATCTTTGGAAATAATTCAAAAGTTCATCTTTTTGATATGAAAGCAAAAAGAGAAATGTTCAGAAAGTGGTCAATTTTTTCCACTTAAGAAAAATAATAACCTAGGTATGACAGGTGAGAATTCAAGTTTATAACTAATAAATCACTGAAAAGACGTTTGGGCTGAGTCATGTATCATAAAGTCAGTAAATATGTGAATACATGCACAAGTCACTGAAATGGTCTCGAATCAACATTTTACTGGTCCATTTTGTCCCAAACTATTACCATTTGAATTTGATGTGATACTAATGTAAATGTCCACGTTATGTTTAACACTAAGTACTTGTCTGCAGTGGAAACCAAAATATTTTAAAGCTAAAAATACGTAAGAATGTTACAGAGAATTTCATTGGTTGTCAAAGACACTAATGCCAAATAATTACTTTTAAAATATTGTGCCTGATTCTTTCAAGAAAATGTGAAAATAATACTGAACCTTTCACTATTATTGTTGTTATTTTGCAATTTGTAGGAATTAAACAAAAGCGAGAAGGTAGAAATGTGTAACTGTCAATACTATCTTTGGATAGTTACAACATAGTAAGCAATCAGGGATGGTTTTGTTTAGAAGTATGGAAAAGTGCTCATGAAATAAACACTATACTCTGACTGCCACAAATCAACAAAATGCAACTGTGTCCTGTGGACATGGTAGAGAAAATGGCAATTTTGAGGAAGGAGTGCTTCTAAAGGCATTTCCTTGGAGACAGTCAAGTTTTTTTCCCCACATTACTAAAAAGACTGAGTAATGTGGTATGATTTATTCCTACAACCAAACTTCCACTTAGGCATAGTTACATGTTCCCAAACTATTTTCCTTCTGTCCACCATGCTGGTTTCGCTATTCCATGGTCCACTGTAATCTTTTGGTCTTCCCTTTCTGTAGTACGGCAGCCAGATGTTGCTATCCATTAAGTAGGTAGACCACCAATTCATAGGTGGCCATCATAATGGCTGTGTTTGGAATCTGTCTCACCAGATGAGTTGTTAGACCACGGTAAAGAGACCCATAACCTTCTTCTTGAACAACCAAAGATAGTGTCTGAAATAAAGATCTGTATTTTGTGCCTTCTTCACGTAGTCTTGTTCTTACAACTTCTGTTTAGGAAAAAAATAAAGTCATTTTACTTAAACATTAGTTGTACCTTTATAACTCTCCAAAGCCTGAGCACATCCCACTAATGAGTCTGCAAGCATAAGCGTAACATAAATAAGGAATGACTTTTGTGCCACATATTGAAACCAGTCACATTAGAGTAACACCAAACATGTAAGACAGCCAAATAAAATCATGGATACCAATTATAAAATTTCATAGGTTCCTGAATGTTGTAAGATGGAAAGAAACAAAAGTTTCAGTTACATACAAGACAGAAATAAAAAGAACAGATGTAATAAAAAAAGGTGGAGTAGGAAACGAAATGGAGGTGATATCACAAATGAATACAAAATGATACAGTGAGAAAATAAGCAGAAAAGACTTTTTCAAGTGTATATAGCACAATGAGAAAACAGAATCACTAATTTATCCACAATGCACATACCAACATGAAATTTCATGTCAATAAACCTGAAATGTTTAAAATACTAGCTACCAGCTAAAGCCCTATTTGGGAAGCAAGTAAGCAAAAAAATTTAAAAGCTGAAAGAGATCTTAATTAAGATTCTTAAAGATTGTTGCTGATCCATTTTTTAATTCTTGAAAAAATGAAGAAATTGGGGCTAATGAAAGTACAGTTTTAATCAGTTGAGGACAGAGGCTAGGGCAAAAACTGTACTTTATACTATTCCTTTGTTCTTTCCATTTCCATTTTTCAAAAATTTCAACATAATATACCTGATGAAAATGGCCTACAGTCACTGTCACAATGAATATAAATATTTGAAATCTTGTTTCCTGTCTTAAAAATTTGTGTTGTTTATAAACATTCTACTCCAAATATCTTGCTTAATAAACACCTTACCTCTTCTCTTAATAACATTTCACTTGAATAGACAGGATACTTAAAACTCTCCAAAACTTTATTTCTCACTAAGCAGGTGGCCATCCTGGTCCTCCCATAAGAACCCAAACCATGTTGCTGATACTGCCCTCTTCTGACTTCTTTTAAGGTTAGAAAAGAGGTAAATGCACAGTTCAACTTGGCTAGAGTTAGTGAAACTTTCATTAAAGAGTTGGTAAAACTCATAAATTAAATTTTAGAGCAAATACTCATTTCTTAGCCTTGTTTTAATAAAATATACCAACAATCGAAGACTACATATAAAGAAAGATGAAAGAAAAAATAAAAAATTCTGTGTATTACAGATAATTTCTTAAGTGCTTTCCTTGACCATGACTAAAACAGGCTGATATTGCAAAATTCAAAGACAGATGAATTGTCTACTCATATTTATTTGTTGACATGAAATAGGAGCAAAAGGGTTGGTTTTGGGCATTACAGATTTCATTTCAAATCAGGGCTCCACCACCGAGTATGCTATGTGACTTTGAACAAATTACTTAAATTTGTTTCTCACTTAAGAAAGAGGACAAACATGGTTAAATGTTCTAGCATAAAATTAGCTTTAAACAGAGAAGTAATTTACAGGATATTTTATGTAGATTAGCAATAAACTATGTAACATAGCTAGTGTTATATCTACAGCCATATTTTTTTTAAAAAATAGTAACCTGCCCAAAGGATGGATACCTAGACTTTGACTAAGTCCTGAATTGAAATCTGAATATTTATAGCTCATGATAAATTGTCACCAACCTAATATAGCATGTACTGACCTATTAAAACAGCCTTATAGCACTCATACAGATTTAATCCCATTATGATGGACTCTCAAGCACAGAATTTTGTTAACTGGAACTCAGTTATTTATAAATGCTCTAAGTTATTGGTTGGGGTGGGGAAAAAAATTCTGAATTAATAGCCCATTACTCTAATAAACTAAGGTCCCCTTACCATGTGGATATGCTATAGTCGTGGCACAGGTTTTTGAGGTGGCAGCAGCTAGCATCATTCCCACAAAATCTGATGCTTCCTTTACAGACTCTTCATCACTTTCCATTGTTGAAGCAGTTTTATATTCCAGTAGTTTTTGCTTAATACTTTCATAAATAACAAAATGGATAACAGTCTCTGATATGCCAGCATATGAAGCAGACATGCCCCTATAAAATCCTCTAAGTCCATCTGTCTGATACACTCTACCAACACATTCAAAAGCTCCCATTCGCTTTTCCCCACGGTTCCTAAAAAGGAGAAACAGGAAAAGTCTTATTAAATTAACATAAACAAAGCAGTACAGGATTTTAAATAAGGCAAATAAAATACAGTAAAAATGATATTGTAATAAAAAATGACCCTCTAATTCATGAAGTTCATTTAAATGACCCTCTAATTCATTTAAAATTCAGAATTTTAAAATATTCATTTTAGATTTCCTGTTCTTTTGTTCCAAATTTGTCATTAGATGGGTAACATGTAAATACTTTGTAGTTTACTGGATACAAAATATACTACATTGACTCTTCAATTTTACATCTTCATTGAGTTTGTATTGTAGGGATAATTAATAAAATTCTTTAGTCCAAATACACTGCCATGTAGCTCAAGACAAAAGCAAAACAAAAAAAACCCTTCATATTAAATCTAGTTTTAAACTGAATTTCCTTTGCATTTAATAACATATAAAAAGAATGAATGAGACACCAATGATGATAGTATGTCACAAACCAAGCAGTAGGAGTAATCTAATTTCATGCACCTGAGGAATTCTTCCAACCCCACTCGGTTTCTCCCAAACTATGATGGGGTGAATTTAATTTCCTATGATCCTCTGAAGGCAATATCCATATGTTTCAACTCAGTATCTTCCTAGTGAATACTGAATGAGGACCTCAACGGTTATTAAGCATTTATTGAGTGCTGTGCCCAGAAACATTCTTCAGTGCTACTTTAGACATACACACACACACACATATATTTATTTACACATATCATTTTGAATTTGGAAAAATATTTATATCTTACACTATCTTCCCCCCAGTAGGATCTTGCAGGGGTTAAAGACACAGCTTTACCAAGCTACAGGTAGCCACTGCAGCACAAGTTCAATCCTTGGCTGGCCAAGGAGCTAAGCCACATGGCGCAGCAGGCCTCTCTTGTCTTGCCCGTGGCTCCCCTCAGCAGTGTATTTCAGAAGATCTGCCTGTTCTACTCCCTGTCTCTGGTGACTCCTCTCACCCGCCATACCTCTGCCCACACCGCAGTTCTTATATGCATAAAATGAATCTTTTTAAAAAACCCTAAAACAAATGCAAAGTATTAAGCTATTATGATACATCAGATGGGATTATTTCTTTACCTTTTCACCATTCTCCACTCTAAAGGTCAACAGGTGGAGGTGGCAAGACTCTTAAACTGCACTGCTCTGGCCTTCTCTCAGTTCCCAAAACATGCTGAAGGCCCTAAACTTAGGACTTACAAAGCTTGGACTGACTGTGTCTCTGCTTCAAGTGGGCTAATAAAAAAAAAATTCCTTGGGCCTCCCCGGTGGCGCAGCGGTTGAACGCTGGGTTGCGAAGCTGCCCGCAGCCTCGGCAGCGCCGGTTCGATCCCCAGCTCGCCAGGCAAGGGTCCCACATGGCACGCAGACCTCTCCTGCCGCTCCCCTCAGCAGTGTACTTCGTCACTCCGTCTGTTCTACTCTCCGCTCTGGCTCTGGTGAATTCTCTCACCCTCCCACGCCTCTGACTGCACCCAGTGCTTGTATAAATAAATAAATAAATAAATCTTAAAAAAACAAAAAAACAAAAAAAACAAAAAAAAAACCTTTCCTGTTCCATTTAAAGTTAGTACCCACTCTTTGCTAGTACATCTATAATACCTAGCAGTGTCCGTTCATTAGAGATTTAGTGAATGAATATTGCTACCATAAAGTGATAAGAGAGGCAAGTTTACAAATATGAGGTAAATCCCATGCGAGAATTCTCTTTCCATAAGGTTACCTAATTTGACCAATGATTCTCAAAGATTCACTCTATATAAGTTGATTATGTGGGCTACTGCACTGTTGGGAGGCTGATTATAATCACCTATGTAGTGAAAGTATCATTTCTTGTGCTGTTAATATTCCTTTTTCTTTTTCTTCTTTAAACACACACATACTTCACATAATGCACCTTCTTTTCTGCCAATAATCATGTCATTTTTGCTTCTAATGGCAGACTCAAGTTTCAAAAACAAAACAAAAAAAACCCAAATTCAGTAGCAAGTGTAAGAAGACTTAAGACACCTGGCACTGAATTTCACTGATAGAAATTTATAAAATAAAATTAGTTGGAAACAACTTTATTTTAATGAATCAACATACCTTGCATCAAGTTGTAACCGAGTCTTTATAAGCCAAATGGGATTGGTTGCTGTGATTGCAGTAAAACCTAAACAAACACGTTTAAAATGAACTCAAGTAAAAATTAAGAAAACACTATTAACTTTAAGGTTTAAGTTACATTAAAGAAAATGCATATAATATTTAAACTAATAATTGATGTATACTTTATACTTTTACTTTGCAAATTCATGACCATGAACATTTATATTTTATTTTCAATCTAAATTCTCAAATTCTGACCATAACTAAATGAATTTTTAAAGACAAAATCTACTTATATAAATAGATAGATGTATATATTCAGAATATCTTCTGGGGTACCCTGACTTTCTAAGCTGAATTCAAAAACCCATTTCTAAGGACAAAATTAGAAATTTTATGTACTTTGGACTTTTGAGCATGCAAACTTAAACAGCTACTTGGGGGTCCAATCATCACAAATCACTATATTCAAAATGGATTCTTTATAAATATCAGCATTTACTCATATCTGACCATAAACTGATTGTGTATCAGAAAGAATTATTTGGCCTTATGAATACTTTACATAAATATACACTTGCTACTATTGTTAAAATAACAGTATCACATAGAAAATATTTGTTATAATTTATAGGACAGATCTGGTTTTTATTCATTTAAACACATACAAAAACTCGAAAGTTCAAAAAATTACAAATTGGAACTTCCCTCTTATTTTTATAGACACTGAAAAAACAAGGCAGTTCTAAGTTGACTTTGAAACCAAATGTAATGCACCATTAGTGCAAAAGGGTGGTCACCTAAGATGGCTCACTCCAGGCAGTAAATTAAGATCCCTGGAACAGTGTATTTCTAGGCTACTATAGTAATCCTATCTTTTACTACTACAGTAGTTCTATCTTTTACTTGCTATCATTCTGGCGTTAAGAAAAAATAGCAAATATCAAATGCAATCTTATTAATGGGAACTTGGGAAGACTGATTCATCTATCCAAAAATGGTTTTAACATAGCTTTCAAACTTCATAGAACTACTTACATTAAGCTAAGTTTATTCAACTGGTCTTTAAATTCAGTGAAAAGCTACACACAGAAATGTGTAAAGATCTCAACTGTTTTATTATTTTCTATCAAATACTAGCAGGTCAAGCACATTGTTTTTAGAAAAGTGGAATGTAATTAGCACATTTACTATTATTAAAGACTTTCAGGAACAAAAAAATGCTCTGGTGTACTTAAGAATCTTTTTTTTTTTTTTTTTTAAAGTTAACAGTGCAGAAGCAATCATAGTCTTTCTTGGCTTTCAAAGTTAGTATGGGTATATTTACAAATGCAAAATTATTTACTAAACTGCTTACAAATAAAAATTTAGTTTCACAGTTCCTTCCCTTCTATGATGACAGATAATTAGCTAACTCAAATTTTACTGCCTTAATCCACTATTTTAAAACTATAGAAATAGCCAGATGTTTCACAAAGATGCTCAAATTATGTTTATAAACAAGATAAATGGAATAAAAATCTGGTTTGGTAACTCCTGTAATAGTTCTATAATGGTTACATAGTCAACTTCTCTTAAATGCTTTTAACACTATACACATACATCTAAAACTGAAATGGGAACAACAATTTGTAAGCATCAGTCAATATTAAAATAATAAAAATTTAAGGTTTGGGGCAGGTTACCAGGAACATTTTAAATAAAAGATTCTTTCCATGTATATATTCTTGGTTAAAGGAAAGAGAATAAAAATACAAATCGATCAGACCAGTTTAGATATTTTGTTTGGAAAAGATTTTTCTTGCACACATGGCATAATTGAGAATAAAGTTATGTATTTTTTCTTCTTTAAAATATGGTTTTTCTACATGAAGAAAATCACACTAAAGATATTCAAATTATAAAGTATGCACCATATATCAGTATTTTTGTCATATCTCCAATGAGTCTTATTTTTAAGCTTATTTGCATTAGCTAAATATCTGTACAGAAATATTAGGGGTTTAGTAGTCAAAAGTCACTTAGCAGCACAAATGAACAAATTATTCTGCATTATTCACAATGGTTCTTTATTAATCATTCTCTGAAAATTTTAATTTGAGAAAAAATATTTGCATTTTATTGTATTTTGAAAACCTAAAACTGGGAATCCTTATATAAAACTTAAAAAAACTTATCTAGGTAAAACTCTCATTCAATCTATTACATTTTTATTTAAAAGGTGAGCAAAGTTTTCTTTTAAAATAAAAATTCTATTTCTAAAAAGATAAACTTAGTACCCAACCTTAATGCTTTTCCAAGTCACAAAATTCCTCAATTAGAGGCTGAAAAAAAACTTCATACATATAATACAGTATTTATAACTGCTACTAGGAACAAACTTTTAAAGTACCAATAAACTAAATTATACTTTATACATATTAATAAATAACAACAGGAAGCAAACAGGTATTGCTCACTTAACTAAGATTCATTTCCAGACATAAATTAACCTATGGAACAGGACACATTAAAATTTAGGTAACTGAGAGAACATTCTTACTTATTGCTATAGAAGTGCTATAATCAGTAACTTGCATTTACTAAATTATTTTCGTCTCCCAATAAAAAGCTAGCTCTTAATAAAGATGCTAATCTAACTGCCAGCAAATCATTATGTTAAATAATCAAGGCATAATCAATTCATGGGTTTTTAGCTATTGGTTCTTTACCAGTTAAAACTATTGGTTCCTGAGTTTTATGCTATTTCTCTTTTAAGCAAAGATATTCAAACTAAGTAGACATTATTAGGCTTATTAAATCTGGAAATCTATTAATTCAAGAAATGAAACTAATGGGAAGAAACAAATTTGTGATTTAGAATTATATAGAATAAGGCAACTTGAAGTTGACAAATAGCCAAAACTAAACACACCTTTCTACTACTTCTAAGACTAACATACTTATGAGACAAAGATATTGGGAATTCTAAATCCCTCAGATTTAGAAATTTCCTATTACTTTTAATTGTTGCATTTAAATTTTGTGAATTTTGATAATATGCTAACTCATACTAATGTTCTGAACATCCAGTTAAATACTAAAACTGACATAGAGGTATATGAAGATCTTTTTGTAGGTCAAGAAGAATTAATATAGCCCCACAGGCAGTTAGAGCAAAGTGACCATACTGTTAGTGTGGTTAGTATTTTATTAGAAAGTTTTCAAACACTTTTAAAATGCAATTTTTAAAGTTTTACTTCATCTAAGACTCCACTTGAAAATGTAAACCAATTAGAAACAACATTAACAGAAATCTTGTCTAAAGAAAACTTGCTGAAAATGTCCATTTCATTAAGTGAGTGATACCTGTATTAATGCATTTTTCAGAACTTTTTACTTCAATTAACTTCTGAAAGAACAAAGCTCACCTAGCCTTCTAAGAGAAATGTATTAAGCCACCCCCCAAAACTCCCACACACCTAATTAAAACTAAAACAGCTAAGATCCTGTATATTATTATCCTGCATTTATTTGGAAAGTAATGGTAAGGCATTAAGATCAATGTTTTTGCAGGAGAGCAGAAAGTCAAGTATTAACATAATGGGAAGCACTGTAATAGATTTTTAAAATGTTATGCTGAGTAAAAAGCACTACTATTCTTTTCTAAAGGTCACAGGATGGTCTGTTATAATTTACAACTATGTATATAAAAAACTGTTGTCAAATTCTTTGGAGGTCAGGGCTATATGGCCTAATGGAATCCCAGGCTTTTATTATACAATGACTGAAGAGTTACCCCAGTCTTCCTTCTAGAAGGAATATTATGAAGGGATCAAAATTAAAGTTTTATAAAATACTCAATGCACACACAAATTCAGGAAATAAGAGCTCATTTCCCGCCTTTTATTAATTCCATATCTATTATAAATTCCCAGGGTGTGTTCTTATACTAGAGGCTGCAAGAGATGCTCAGATCAGTACTCACGAGGTTTAAGTTAGTCCATATTTCTACAGGAAGTGACCTGCGGATGGGGAGCATGAGATGACACGATCTCACTCTTTTCTCGGGAGAAATGTACAGTAAATGCCTAAAATAGACACAGGCTTTTCTGTATCATAACAACAAGCAGTGACCTCATCAGAAACATGTGTACAAAATGAATCCCATTGGAAGGATTTGAGAAATATTTACTGTGAGATCTAACTTTTTTGAAAATTTTAAGTTAAAAAAGAAAAAGAAATATCAGAATGGGCCTTAAATTTTTTTAAAAAATGCACCGAGTACTGAAAATTCTGCCACCTGCAGCAGTTTCAGAGTCCACATACTTACCTAAAAGAAGACCATTTACTTTAAAGAAAAAATGCTAACCTTGTCAAAGGGTAATCTAAGAAAATATTTAGAGGGGATAATCATATCCCATTATTCTTCCATTATTATCTATGGCAATCAGAGTTGAAATACCAATGTTCTAGTTAATAATAAGCTTATTTAGTAAATCTTTACCCCAAAAACACCCTATTCAAGTAACTTCATTTTGTAACTATAATTACTTTTATAAAATAAAGTATATGTCACTACAATAGTACCTTTCACCTTTTGCACTATTGCCAGTAATATTGCACATCCATTTTTATGGAATATTTTGGATTATTTTCTACTTAATTTCTTGTGTTCTACAAAACAAAAAACAGGAAGAATGTTTACACACAAACACACAAAACATCTATCAAACCAGCCATTGGGCTGAACGAACGGCCATGGACAAATAAATATTCTAAAAAATATTTTATATTTCTAAGACAAAATTTCTATTATATGAGTAAAATTGTAACCATTAATAATAAACTGAGTCACATAGAAAAATATATCTTGAAAAATGACAATGAGTGCTAATAAGCAAATAAAACCCAGTAGGTCTATAGTAGATTCTAAATAATTACAATATATTTTAAAAACTGAGCAATTACTTTGAATATCTAATCCAATAAAAATTCATTTCCTTAAAATCTGTAATGTTATATACATAAGTATATACATTCCAGATAAAAACTTTTGAAAATTGCAAATTAGTATAAAGAAAAAGGAAATGTAATACTATTTTTTTGTACACACATTTGTGTCTAAGTGTATACAGAGGGACATGCAAGTTCATTTAAACAAAAACACAAATACTATCAAAAAACCAAATATCCTCAACTGCTAAGAAACACTTAGTATGACAAAGGTGATGTAGAGAAAAAGTAAAAAGTAGGTAAACCAGAGTCAACTCTACTTAGTTTCATTAAGCATATCCTTAAAACTACGCAAATATTTCAATGTAAAATTTATAGTTCAACTTTAGATTTATAAAGGCTCCCTTGAAACACTAAAACAAAAAAAAAAAAAAGACCCACTTTAAATAAACAGCCCTTTTGATAAAAAGTGTCATTAACACTTAAGTTTATATAGATAAAATGTGAACTACAGCTGAATTCGGAGGTTACTAGAAATAAAAATTATGTACCAGGTGCATTATTAATATGTGTGCAATTGGTGTGAAAAAATCTTGTAGGCAAAATCTTTGATGGTCTATTTTAGTGCATTTTTAAATACTAAAGTGACAAGGTTAGCATTTTTTTTTGAATAGCCAGTCTAAAAAAATGATTTTTCACATAACTGCCTCTAAGCACTTTGACCCCCAACTCATATTTAGAAGACTTCCACAAATGAATCTGAAGAAAAACAGCACAATCTGGTCTAGATTATTTCAAGAATGAAGGGGCAAAAAAGCTACCTTAATGAGTCTGCACAGAGTCCCATGCAGTTTTACCAATCAAGGAGTTATATATGAAAACTGCAAAGCTAAATATTAATGTTCTTGAATAGTGCCAACAAAGCTCTAAAAGCACAGTTCTCAGAAAAATGTGACTGCAACAAATGGAAGAAGTCTTTTCAAATTGTAAGTGTAAAGTACAATAATCTCTAAACAAGGGTTCGATTTTCAAAAATTCAAGGAACTTAAATTGGAAATAATATCAATGTATAGATAAAAAAGTTAACATTTGTACACATTTGAGAAAAAAAGTGCAAATGACAATTTCACTGAAATTCTTTGTAATGTGATACAAATATAGTAATAAATTCTGCTGACAGTCTAATAAAAAAGTTCCAATGGGAATTAAAATATTCTGAAATCCTAAATTAATAATACTGAATATATAACAATAACCCTCAATTTAAAACCCTCACCTACTTTCTTGATTTCAATTCTTTTAAAAAATGATTAACATTTCTTTACAATTTTGGGGGGCTAAAAATCAAAATCAAACACCACTGGTATTCTAGAAATACATTCATAAAGAACCTAGTACAAGTGGTTATATAGTTTGTCATTGTCCACCAACTTTTACCTTATACCCACTCAAATTTGCAGAGGGAAAATCATATCTATCCGTATTCAACATCTGTAAAAAGTACATTGAAAAATAAATCTAGTTGTAACTACATAATCTCTATAGTATTAAAGAACTAATTCTAAAAATCCACATCTATGTTAACCAACCTACTTACTCATTCTAAGGATAAAGTAAAGGAGGTTCATCTAAATCACCTAGCTAGCTTCCCAACATTTTTCCTCATTGGTGAATAAGAATACGTCACCACCTTGACCTTTGAAGTTGTACCTCCTACCCTTAAAACTTCAACGAGTCATTCAACATTTACTAAATATAAAGGCCTTGAAAATTTTCAAGTAATATATATGCTAGATTTACCATATGGCTATTGATGTTTCAGAAATTATTTCAAACTTGTACTTTGTTGAATATGTGGTTCAAATTGATCCAATTTACTTCTAAACAGAAAATGGTTAACAGTTTTAAGAAACTCATTATTAAGTATATAACTGACACTCAATTGATCAACAGTTGATAAAGTAGCTATAATTTGCTTTATAAAGTCATAGCATAATCTGGGAGTGTGAGGTATGGTTAAATATGCAACACATCTCAATAAACCATTGAGAATTTCTAAGGAGAGCCGAAGGTCATGGCTTTGTCTAACATGCAAGGCAGCAAATGATTCCAGAACCAATTTTCCAGTTTATCATCTTTAAGGGAATGAAATCAGAGGTAGAGGGCTAGCTATTTTAATTCACAATCATACATATTCATCAACAATGATAGAAGAGTTCTTGGAAAACATTTCTATAGCAAGCATGTACACATAGCCAGTGCCTAAATTTTGACTGCTATTTAGTGTGATTTGTGGATATGCTAAACATATTTTTCAAAATACATATATTTCAGTAACTGAGTTATCAGTTAACACATCACGCACAAAAATTTCAGCATTTGAGCACAGGACAAAATGAATACTTTACCAAGAACTGCTGGCACATTTCAGACAGAAGCCAAAACATGCAGCAAAAAGGGAAAAGGCACTAACAGAAATTGAGGAGAGAAAAATAAATTATAGCTCCATAACTTATTTATAGTGTAAATAAGACTGTATTCTTAAATCTGTTAAAAGTCATCAGTCAATATTCAGTGGTCTACACAGTGTATATACCTGCATGTTATCACTTACACTTTTACTTATAAAAAAGTCAACTGACAACAGATTTTACATATGCATTCTAATAAAATTTATTATATACTACTAAGTGTAAAAATCATGTTTGCGGATGCTAATCAATGAAAAGCCCATTAATCACCTTAACTTTTCAATGTAAATTCATCATAATTCACTATTAAGTCTCTAGGTTTTGGGAAAATTTTTTATTTTTTTAATACTATATATTCATACCTGCCATTGCAGCTGAAATCATGTGTACCTGGGTAGAATCAGCATCAAATACACCATTCAACTTTTCCTTGCAGTTTGAATAAGCAGCAAAATATATTGCTCTAAAATAAATATTTAAATTTTATCAATAAGCATGTTGCTTAATTCACAAGATTTGAATGACATGTAAATTGATCTTTATAATTATCGAGTAAAGAAAACTCAAAACATAAAGTCTTAGCCACAGTCATGTAATAACATCAGGTCAATTTATACTCTTTTCCCATAAAAGGTGAAGTACCCTATGCATTGACTCATTAAGGAAAAAAAAAAACACAACTCAAATGTGAAGTTGCTAGCATCTTAAATAGAGTACCCCTAGCACCTCAACAGCAACTAACTGACTGAAACCAAGTATTAGAAACAGATTTTAATGACTGGAAAGCCTATGAATAAGATTGGAAGGCTTGTATAATGCCAAGGTCAAATTAAATACACTTAGCTTATGGTATGAATACTTAAAACTGGTGCGAAGAGGAAGGTAGAAATGACTGTACTGATCAAAGTATATATTAAAACAATTTGAGACTGTGGTATATTTTAACTTATACACAGTAGTTCATGCCATCCTTAAAAAGACAACTCCAAAAGAAACCAGTCTCATCAGATCAGATCATATTTACTAGTATTTATAAACATTCCATTAAGTCTAAAATTTCCCTATTAATTTATTAACTATGACTTCATGTATCCCAATTACCTCCTCATTATTTAGCTTTCCAGCACTGAATTACCTGTTTGCTTTATCAAACATCCTGTCAATTCCCAATAATCTTGATTATCTGATCAGTAAAGGGCAAATAAGTACAGACAAGAATCTTACTGTTGTGCTTTTTATGATGTGCTCATGAAAAAAGGAAAGAATGTAATTTAAAATGCAACAATTAACTTTATGGAAAGAAAAAAAAATAGGATATATTTAATGATGCTAAACTGCCAGAGGAATAAGTACATTCCTAGAAATAAGAAAAAAGAAGCCATTCTAATGAGAAAATGAGAAATACAGGCAATTCACAGAAGATATACAAATAACAGTAAGACAGAGAGAATGACTACAGCAAAAATTGAAAAGTAAAAATCATGTTTAATCTACTTGGTTAGTATTAAAAGACATGAATAAAAGTCAATGTTGGTAATATGTGAATAAAGAGCAACTAACTTACAATTTGAGAACAAAAATATGAGATGCCTTTTCACAAAGAACTTGAGCAATATTCATGAGAGTTTCAAATGTGCCTATGCCCTTTTACCCAGAAATTATGGTTAACTATCCTAAAAAATGTATCTATGTAAATAAAGTTAAATGTACAGCCATGTTCATAAAACCATTACTTTTAACAGCAAAAATCTGGAGATAATTGAAAGGCACGCCAATAAGGCAATGCTTACTAATAATGGGGTGGTCATACTGTATAATTTTATTTTTTATTTTTTAATCTGTTTTTTAAACAAAGATTTATTTATTTTTATACAAGAGCTGGGGTACAGGCCAGAGGCGCAGGAGGGTGAGAGTATTCACCAGAGACAGAGTGGGGAGCAGAACAGGCAGATTGACTGAAATACACTGCTGAGGGGAGCAGCGGGTGAGACAGGAGAGGTCTGCCATGCCATGTAGGTTTCTCGCTGGCCGGCTGGGATCGAACCAGCACCGCAGAGGCTGCAGACAGCTTCCCAGGGCTGCACTCAACCTGCTGCTCCACAGGGGAAGCCCATATACCGCATAATTTTAAATAAAATCACAGATTTTCAAGGAAAAAATCTTCAAGAACTGGTAAAATAAGTAATATGATTCAATTTCTGTAAATGATAGTAACAAATGTTTTTAAGGGCATAAGCCATAAAAAGTAATGGAAATTAACACACCAAACTATTTATGTTAATGGTAGTCTATATGGAGAGAAAAGCGTGTTGGAAGGTGCATGAATGATGATGTGTAAAAGGTGGAATTCAAACTATGCTAAACATTTCCTTTAGTTTTTACAATGGGGATGGAATTTTGGGTAACCTTTTAAAAAGAAAGAAAAAGGCCCATAAAAAGTTGAAACCCAATAAACAATGAGACAAAGCTCTCGTATATGGTTTGAATACAGAGAGTTGGGTATGCATTTTCACTCTGAATGTGAATTGTACACAGAGGACTTGCATGGAAGAAGTCAAAAGATAAAGTAATATGAGAAAAGTTAACAAATTATTACATCAAGTTCTCTTGGCTTCTTGGTAGAGAATGAAACTATGCTATTTATTTGGCTTGTTCCATAAGCCAAATATAAGCCAAAAATTAGGCATAGTTCTACAGATTCAGGTCTTCACTTTCTTACTTTCTCACTTAGCCCCTTTCTCTTTACCTTTTGAACTTGATATAATCTGCACATTCTCTCAGAAGTTTACTGACACCTGTTATACCACAGTGCATTATCCTTACCACCTTGACTTCTCTTTAGCTTGACACAAGAAAGACTGCCACGAGTTTGCTAAATTTATTGTTTGTTTGTTTTTTACCTGGAAGGGGCCACCCCCACTAAATTGGGGCCTAATCCTCTAAACAAGGAGCGAGGTCCTTCTTTTTCCAAGATCATCCTGAAAAGGAAAAAAATATTGTTTATAAGGGAACGGCCTTCAAAGTCTGGTACTTCATTTGTACCAAACCTAGACAGTGTAAGCTTCATACATGTTATGCTGCTCTACTCAGTTTTCCTTACTTAGGAAAATCTGTTTTTCTTGATACAGGATAAAATTACTGTCACCTGACAATAAATTTCCTTATCACAATAAAAAGAACTCCACTCAGATTCTTGCCTAAAAATTTAAAAAAACATAAGAATACCAAGTTCTACATTTATTTTCATATGGTCATTCTACTCTTTAATTACTTCCATTTCATTATCTTTACCAGTAAATTCAATTCCCAGCCAGAAACATGGTTCCTTTCTAGTATCTGAAGGCCTTTTCTCAATGTTAGTCTTTTGGTACTGCAGCATTATCTCATCCAACCACATCAGTGAAGTGCTGTGGGAAAAACCTGTCATTCTAACATTGTTTAGGGGCACTAAAATAGTTGGCCTGTTACTATTTCTCTCCTTCTACCTTGTTAACTAGACTAAGCAGAATAGCTATAAAAGAGAGGGTGAAGAAATTTATTGTCCAATTATGGAAAAAAGATTTTACTGACACAAGTAATTACCAGACCATACTACTAAGCAAATACTATGTAAGTTAGATACATATGGCCAACAAAGAAAGGCACAGAAGCATGTCTAAGTAATGGAAGGCTCTTCTGATGGTAGGCCTTCCAATGTTTTGGAGTTCAGGAGAAACAGCGGTTCAGTAAGAGTAGATATTTTAATGCAGCGTTAACAAATTAGAACAATGGTTTTCATACATCTATATGTTTAAGATTAATCTCTTGAAAAGCAATTGAGCAGAATGGCTAATTAAAGTCCCAAGTTGTGGCGTCAGACTTCTCAGTTACTAGGCCCAGTCTGGTTATTGACTAGCTGTGAGAACAAAAAAATAATTGACTTTTCTTTTACCCTTATTTTCACCAGCAGTTTTTCACTAGAAAAAAAAAAAAGTACTTTTTTTGTTACTGTGAAAATTAAATAAATTTGTATATATTAAGAGCTTGAAAGAACCTGACATACAAGTCAGCACTTGACATATCTTAATGTCACTATTATCTTTACTACTAGAACATTTGTTTACAATGTAGATTTCTCTGATTCTATCTTCAAAGTATTCTGATCCCATAAGTACAGGACAATGCTCAGCAGTAACAGATTATACAGAAACAAGTAAAGAATGACAAATTGTCAAGTACATTTTGAAGACCCAGTGATGATTAACCATTTCTATATCATAAATCATTTTAAGAAATTAAAGAAGGTAAGTGTTCTTTAAAAAAAAAGAAAGACATTTGTAACATCTCACTATTTTGTATACAATTTCATCTGATTTATAGACCACTACTGGTTCATCCATGAGCCCCCTGAATGACAGTAAGAGCCCGAGGGGAAGTCCTGAAGTTCCTATGTAAGAAGCCATGATATACTTCATGCCCTCTAAGGATGTCTAGAATCAAAAAGACAGACATAGTAAGAGGGGTTGGCAAGAATGTGCAGAAACTGAACATCTCATTCATTGTTGAGAATGTCAGCCGCTCTGGAAAACAGTCTGGCAGTTCTTCAGAAATGTTAAACACAGTTACCTTGTGACTCAGCAATTCCACGGCCCATATATCCTCAAGAGAAATATCATATATCCCTACAGGAACATTATTCATAAAAACCAAGAAGTGGAAACAACCCAAATATCCATTAACCCCAGTGAGTGGATAAGTAAAATGTAATGTTAACTCTGGCAATAAAAAGATTACAACATGGATGAACCTTGAAAACAGTATGCTAAGAGAAAGAAACAAGACACAAAAGACCACATACTGCACAATTCCACTTACATAAAATGTCTAGAATAGGCAAATCTATAGTGACAGAAAGTAGACTAGTAGTTGCCTAGCGCTGAGGGGAGGGAGAAAGGAAGGGAGAGAATGAGTGATCAATAATGGGCAGAATTCTTTTTGTGGGGATGGTGAAAAAGTTCTGTATTTAGAAAGTGATAGTTACACAATTCTATGAATTTAACAGGAACAAATGAGTGAGTGAAAGTTATGGCATGTGGATTATCAAAATAAAGATGTTGGGAAAAACAAAACAAAACAAAACAGCAGCCATGAAACAGTTCCTGAATGGGGACACAATGGAAACAAGAGTGAGAGGACAGTCAGATGAGAATGCAGACTTTCAAGTCACCTGTATATTGATGACAGTTGAAATGCATTAGGGTGACTCATACATGAGAGCCTGAAAAACTAAGAAATTAAAATGAATCCAGAGGGATTCCTATAGTTGCTGTAAGAAAAGTCAGAGAAGACAAAAAACAATGAAAAATAGAAAGAAAAAAAAAATAAATAGTACTGTCACAAGTCTAAGGAAGAATTTTATGGAGAGGTAATCAGTAATGTCGAAATCATGATATAAAGGCACTCTATCATTATTCAGAAGTATTCCTCTCTATCCATGGCATTTTATTCTATTCATGTACTCTGGAAGTTTGAAAAAAGAAAAGACTGATGAAATCTTTTGTTAGTGAAAGTAAACACACAGTATGCGTTTATTTGCTACAAAATAAACACTACCGAACTAAGTTCAAATAGATTATGTCCCAAGTGAGCTGATAAGGCAGACACACAAGGCATTCAGTTACATACCTAGGTTTAAACATGTAGAAACAAATTGCAATAGGTCTGAAATGTCACACCAAATTTAATATAATGAAATGTGGTAAAATAGAAAAACAAATCTTTTTCAAATGGTCAAGATATTTCAAACAAAAAACAAATCACAGTTTAAAATATGCAGAATTCTACTTTAAAACTTAGTTATGTTTAGGTCATAGAAAAATCAGACTGCCATTAATAGAATGTACTTAACTTGTATGAGCACTTGGTAAATTAAACATATATTCAAGAGTCAGCATTTATCATCACAGTACAAAAATAAATGAATAATCCAGAAAATAAAATACCTATAATAGCTTTATAAAAGAAATCCATCAATGTAGAAAAACAGTCCAAATACAATTTGGAAATAACATTTTATATTATCTAACTATTCTTCTACATTAGGGGTTATCATTTCTATTGAATATAACACAGAGAAACTGTCATTAAGTTTGTAAAGAACCTCTTAATAAGTGGCAGAATGTAAATAAACAAATATAGGCATCATTAAAGCAAGCAGACTAAAAAAGAACCATGAATACTGTGCTCTCACTTTAAGCAATGGAGTGGTCCAGGAGACATCACTCGGTTGACACTGGCTCCAGCCACGGTGTTGAGCTGAACTTCAGAGATATAAAGCGTCACAGAAGATGACTGTAGCCGTGTTTTTACAACTTCCAGTGGACATGTCAGAATAGCTCCTACTGTACCACCACATCTACAAAAAAACAAAGAGAACAAAACTTATCCACTTAAATTACCAATTAGTACACATACATAAAACTGTAAAATGAGAAAACAACTAGGTTTTTTGGGACAACAAACCACATGTTCAAGAATTCTTACTTTAGAGGACTAAGTGATTTTTTCATTTACTGGACTGCATTCAGACATCTTTAGTAGCTAAAAAGAACTAAGTTTAGTATCTACCTAGCAAGAATATAATCAGCTAAAGACGACTCCAAATAGGAGGTGTTGTTACCAGAATTTACTGATAAGACATACTGCAGTTTTAAATATTGTTTTAAGGATTTATTTGTGATCCTTGCCCAGATATTATTATGGTCCCATTAAAACCAAGATCATCATTTAAGTCCTATCCTTTCTCTCAAACTCCTATCATTTTTCAAAACTTCAAAAATAATGTTTGCAACAGTTAGAAATAAATCACTAATGGATACTAATTCATATTTCTATTTTAATATCCGAATACTCAGAATGTTTCAGATACAAAAAAATGATATTTAAGTCTAACAATTAATATCTGTTACTTATATGTGATCTGTGCAAAGCAGACAGACTAAAAGAATCAAATTTAGGGCCTCCCTGGTGGCACAGGTGGTTGAACATTGCACTGTGAAGCTGTCCGCAGCCTCTGCAGCGCGGGTTCGAACCTGGTCAGCTGGCGAGAATCCCACATGGCGAAGCAGACCTTTCCTTTCTTGTCTGCTGCTCCCCTCAGCAGTGTATTTCATTAGTCTGCCTGTTCTGTTCCCCACTCTGGCTCTGGTGAATCCTCTCACCCTCCTGCACATCTGGCCTGTACCCCGGTTCTTATATAAATAAATCTTTTAAAAAAAGTCTTAAAATATATAAATAAATAAAAGGATCAAATTTAAATACAAAACCTGATAAGCAACAACAAAATTAATTCTTTTTTAAAAAAGATTTATGCATACAAGAACTGGGGTACAGACTAGGGGTGCAGGGGAGTAAGGGGATTCACCAGAGACAGGATGGGGAGAACAGGCAGATCTACTGAAACACTGCTGAGGGGAGCAGCGGGAGAGACAGGAGAAGTCTGCTGCGCCATGTGGGTTAGGTCCCTATCCGGGGATTGAACTCATGCTGCAGTGGCTGCAGGACAGTTTCATAGTTCTGAGACTTAACCCCTTGAGCCACCAGGGTGACCCCTAAAATTGAATTCTTAACAAATGACATCATCTAATCATTTTAAAGGTATATAAGAGAGAAACTGAGTAATTATTATTTATAAATACAACAATGGGAAAAGTTTTCTTTAAAGCAGACTAAGTCAGAGGTAACATTTTAGGACCCCAAAATGGATATCAGAGGAAGAAAAAAAAAATGCAGCCCATCACAAAATATATCAAATAAGTCTACCACCAAAATTTAGAAAAGCTATTTGGTAAAATATATAAGGAAAACAAGAATGGCAACAATATCACTCCAAATAAAATTTAAGTCATCATTAAAGAAGAAAAAACATTAAACAAGATAGTATTTGATATGAGTATGTCATCAACAAAATAAAATTGAAACAAACTTTCTTTACACAATAAAGAGTGAAAAATTTATACAACAAGTTAAAAAATGCATCATGGAATTAAATGAAAAACATGAAAACTAGAACTTCTAGAAAGAAACAGGACAAAAATCTTTTTAACTTTGGGTTAGGCCAAAAAAATCCCCCAAATCTAAAATAGACCCCCAAACCAAGCTGCACTTTGGCAAGCCTTTATAATACTGGAGACAAAGATCTCATCTACTTCCAGAAAGAATAAAAGATAATATGTAAAAAAAAAGTGAGAATATCATCAAACTTCTTGATAATTGCAGGTAACTTACGCTAGAATTCTGCAGCAAACAAACTAAATACAGTTACAAAGAAATATTCCAGAAATTTCCAACCTATATCTTTTCTTAAACAACTACTAAAAGATACGTACCACAAGTTAGTAGACTGAAAAAAGACGGACTATACAAAATCACTATGTTATACACCTAAAATTAATATAACTGTTTATGTCAACTATATTTTAAGGTGGGGAGGGGGGCGGGGAGGGTGGAAATAAATACAGGGACAGACTAATCCAGGAAAGAAAGGAGTCTCATCATGGTAGTAAAATGTCAGGCTTAGAAAATAAGAGTGCACAGAGAATTAGGATGACAGAGAGTTCTGAGGGGTGAAGAACTCCAGGAAAGGGCCAACCTGGTGGCCTATGGGTTAAATCTCAGTACTATCACCACTGCAGCATGAGTTTAATCCCTGGCCAGGGAGTTAACCCAGATAAGGTGCAGCAGACCTCTCCTGTCTTGCCCACTGCTCCCTTAAGGAGAGTATTTCAGTACATCTGCCTGTTCTGCTCCCCACTCTGTCTCTGGTGAATCCTCTAACCCCCGCACCTCTGGCCTATACTCCAGTTCTTGTATGCATAAATAAATGTCTTTTTTTAAAAAAGTAAAATAATACAAAGGGAGAAACCTTAAAAAAAATAAAATAAACCTCCAGGAAAAAAATACCAATAAATATATTTTGCTACATAAAAATATTCAATTATAAGTATTAATGTAAACTAAGCAAGTGTTTATAGGCACTTATTAATTTCAGGGGGAAAAGGATGCTATTCAATAAAGAAAAGGTCAATGTAATATAACCTAGCTATACCATGCACAATAAAGTAGGCACTGACCATTGGCTTAACAAAATATAACTGCGACATTGAGAGAATGGAAAGATGAGGGAAATAAGGAGTGGTATAAAGAACTAAATCCTCATTTACCAGAACAGAAAGTATGAAGGAAAACCCCAAATGAAATAGCTAAAACAGGAAATTTCCACTGAGAAGATATGGGGTATACAGCTAGGGGACGCTGGTTTTATTAATTCAGCAGATTTTTTTTAAAACCACATGCATACATTTACTTTTAAATTAATTTTTAGTGAAAAGTATTTTTTTAAACAGTATTTTTTTTAAAAAGATTTATTTATTTATTTATTTATTTATTTATTTATTTATTTATTTATTTATTTATACAAGCACTGGGTATAGTCAGAAGTGCGGGAGGGTGAGAGAATTCACCAGAGCCAGAGTGGGGATCAGAACAGGAAGAAGGACCGAAGTACACTGCTCAGCAGGAGAGGTCTGCGCGCCATGTGGGACCCTTGCCGGCGGCCGGGGATGGAACCAGTGCTGCAGAGACTGCGGGCAGCTTCGCAGCCCAGTGCTTAACAGCTGTGCCACCAGGGGAGGCCCAACAGTAAGAATTTTTAAATGGAGAATACATGGTTGATACTTTTTGAGAACATATAGTTGGTATTTTTTGAGACAGAGTGGGGAGCAGAACAGGCAGATTTACTGAAATACACTGCAAAGGGGAGCAATGGACTAGACACCACTGAAAAAATGATGTTTATAGCGTGCTCTTTAACACAGAGCTCTAGAATAAATCCAGAATACAGACTGTAACTTCTCTCTATTTCTAAGTCACCTCGATTTTATTGAGATTACTGCATTATCCTTCCAATTATTGTCTCCCTGCTTCTACCCTTTCCCCACTCCCTCCAAACCATCTTCAGTAGCCAGAGTAATACATTAAAAACTTAAATCAGATGTCACTCCTCAGCTTAAAAAACTGACAGTCTAGTTATTTATAGGACAAACCAATATCTTCTATTTCTTCACCTAGCTCTTTTCCTCCTTTTTATCAGTGGCTTTCAAATCTTTGACTTCAAGCCATGAAAAATATTTTACATCAAGATGCAATATGAGGCAAAGAAGCTATGAAGAGGCAAGGAAGGGTTGTGAGCACGACTGCCAAGACAGTGATCTTAGGACTTGCAGCCTCTAGAAGTGAGAGATTAGATTTCTGTTTTAAGTCAACAGTCTGCAGGCTTTGTTACACCAGTCACAGGAATCTTAGTCACGTGTTTACAGTCTATCTTCTTTCCAGGTCCTGAGCACAAATCTCACAAATAGGAGAATGAGAGCAATGACAAATCCTGTATCCTTAACACCTGGAACAGTATCTAACACATAATTAGCACTCAATAAATGATGGAAAGAAAAAAAAAAGATGCAACATATTCACATGCACACACAAACATTTCCTAAAACAGTATTTGCCCTTGTTATATGCAATGCACTCTTATTTTTAAAATGTTGGTCACAACCAAAAATACTGATTTCATAATACACTGATGGGTTGCTATCCACTTTGATACATACTGTTCTGTGTTAATTACATCCAATTTAACTAGAAAGAGTAGGGGAAATTTTTTCTTCTGTATTACTACACATTTTATGTAGCTTGTGAGTAGATATTTTTATGGACTAGTCAATTTAGTACAAGATTCAAGCAGAATGCTAAACTAAAGCTGGAGGTTGGGGACAATGCATTTTCAGCTTCACAATTAAATGCATGTGAGCACAAGTAAACCATATACTACTTGCCTCATTTATGAGTCTGCAAGACATGGATAGCAGAATTCTATACAAATATTGCAACATTTTAAATTATTTATCTTATTTCACTACTCCACAAGAAAATTTCATTAGCAATGAATATTGCTTTAAATATTTTAATACTTACAATAAGCAAACTTCTCATGAACATGGATCCATGTAGCCAATATAATGCTTTAAAAAATAAGCAAGGTATAAATGTAGAATGTACCAAGGCTGACAAGAATCCAGAATCAAGAAGGGGAAGAATATGGAATTTAAAAGGCCATGTAGGAGTCTCTGACATTTGCAAAAAAATGTATGAACATGAAAAATATTACACAAAGGAAAAAAAACTGCATGATCTAATTTATATGTGGAATCTAACAAGGTAGAACACATTGAAGGCTAAGGGCGGGTAGATGGTAGGGAAAATGGGAAGATGCTGGTCAAAGGGTTACAGTTATGTAACATGAGTAACTCGAAAAATCTAAGAAATCTAAAGTGCAGGCATGAGGACAGCTAATAACAC